CCACTACATGGTGATAACAAGCCGGAGCCACTGTTTTGGTGGGTAGCAAAGAAAAGCGTGGCATTCGCACATTCAATCGCACAGCCATTTTTGCTCTTGTCCAAACGGACAGGGTATTCCCAGACTATACTCTCCCCACCCCATGAGGGATGTTTTCGTCTGACCGATTTAACGTTTGGCAGACTCGCACTGTAGGCGTCCGTGTGAACGTGTCCTGACGCGCTTCTCGTTGTCCCGCTTTATTGATCTGGCCAAGGGATGTTGTCTTTTAAGGGGAGTGGGGGGGGGGGTGTTCGCCCGCCTGTGACCTTGATTCGTTTGTAGCAAGCATTGGGGCGTTGGTAAAGGGAGCAATGCCCATGTAGCAGTAAGGATTTGGAAAAAAAAAAAAAACAAGCATTCGTTTTGAGTGTTTGTGTATCGTAAAATGTAGAAGTATTGGTGTTCAAAGGAAAAACTTTTTAGGATGTTGAGCGCATGATAGAGATGGGGTATTAAAAAAAAACACGGATCTAATGACCCAGTGTTGAGGCCTTTACTCCTGGATGTTGTATCAATACTCCCAGGCATGAAAGCAGAAAATATAACCACATCACTATACACTTAATAGGTACCTATCGCTAACTAATGAAAAGCGCCCTATAGGGCCCTATCTTCAAATACTTAATAGGACCCTATCAGTAATTACTGAATTAGGACCATATCATTAACTTCCGAATAGGACCCTTTCAATGACAAGTGAATAGGGCCCTATCAGTAAATACCGAATAGGACCTTATCACAAACTTCTGAATGGGACCCTGTCACTCACTAATAAATATGGTCCTATCACTAACTACTGAATAGGGCAACATCACTAACTACTGTATAGGGCCCTATCATACCAAATACGACAAGCAAACAGAAGGGGCGGAAGTTATATTTTGGCTTTAACAAAAAGTATTATTGACTAAAATTTTTCTAAAAAAAAATGTAAATAAAAATATTTAACTTTTTCTTCAAATTTGTATTTGTTCGTCCTTAAAAGTAAAAAATCCTAAACAAACGTATGACGTCATTTGAGGACATTTTTTTTTATCCAAGACAAAAATTTTGGCTGAGAGAGTATTTTTTTAAATATTATTATAACAGAGACTTGTTGACATTGAATGTACGTCATAGCTTGGGAAGTGATCGCTATAAACGCTAATCCGCCAGGAAATGGATTAAGCTCAGCCCAAAAATAGACTGGTCGATCGTAACAGACTCCGATGTCGTGAGAGGTGTGAGTCATAAAAAAATGATCTGATTTTATTTTTAGAAGGTCTTTTTATAACTGAGAAATCAGAAGATAAGAAGATGGTGAGCCTTGGAGGTGAACATATAATAGCCTTAAAATTGGAATGGGTGTGGCCCAGGGGTGAGGGAAAGGCGGGGGGGGAGGACGGGGCGCTACACCCCCTGACGGCACCTTTTTCTTTATTTGGAGGGGTGTTATTTTAGGTAAACCGCGGATATTTTTTTTTATTGGAAGAGGGAAGAAATCAGAAGATAAGAAGATGGTGAGCCTTGGAGGTGAACATATAATAGCCTTAAAATTGGAATGGGTGTGGCCCAGGGGTGAGGGAAAGGGGGGGGGGGAGGACGGGGCGCTACACCCCCTGACGGCACCTTTTTCTTTATTTGGAGGGGTGTTATTTTAGGTAAACCGCGGATATTTTTTTTTATTGGAAGAGGGGCGGCAAAATATTTCGCCCGCTTCTGGCGGAAGTAACCCTAGCGACGCCACTGGTGGCCTCAGTCTTCAGAAAACCTATTTTGATACATGAACGTTTGTAGCAACTTGGATGAAGCCCTTGTAATGACAGCTTGGATCGTTCCCTGAAATGTGCAGTTATAGTTGTACACAATCCTTTATCAGTTATCGTGTGTAGTGATAATTCTACAAATTCCTGTGTCAATTAATGCATATAGTGATAATTCTACAAATTCCTGTGTCAATTAATGCATATAGTGATAGTTGTACACATTCCTGTGTCAATTAATGCATATAGTGATAGTTGTACACACTCCTGTGTCAATTAATGCATATAGTGATAGTTGTACACACTCCTGTGTCAATTAATGCAAATAGTGATAGTTGTACACACTCATGTATCAATTAATGCATATAGTGATAGTTGTACATACTCATGTGTCAATTAATGCATATAGTGATAGTTGTACACACTCCTTTGTCGATTAATGCATATAGTGATAGTTGTACATACTCATGTGTCAATTAGTGCATATAGTGATAGTTGTACACACTCCTGTGTCAATTAATGCATATAGTGATAGTTTTACATACTCATGTGTCAATTAATGCATATAGTGATAGTTGTACACACTCCTTTGTCAATTAATGCATATAGTGATAGTTGTACACACTCCTGTGTCAGTTAATGCATATAGTGATAGTTGTACATACTCATGTGTCAATTAATGCATATAGTGATAGTTGTACATACTCCTGTGTCAATTAATGCATATAGTGATAGTTGTACACACTCATGTGTCAATTAATGCATATAGTGATAGTTGTACAAATTCCTGTGTCAATTAATGCATATAGTGATAGTTGTACACATTCCTGTGTCAATTAATGCATATAGTGATAGTTGTACACATTCCTGTGTCAATTAATGCATATAGTGATAGTTGTACACACTCCTGTGTCAATTAATGCATATAGTGATAGTTGTACACACTTCTGTGTCAATTAATGCATATAGTGATAGTTGTACATACTCCTGTGTCAATTAATGCATATAGTGATAGTTGTAAACACTCCTGTGTCAATTAATGCATATAGTGATTGTTGTACACACTCCTGTGTCAATTAATGCATATAGTGATAGTTGTACATACTCCTGTGTCAATTAATGCATATAGTGATAGTTGTACACATTCCTGTGTCAATTAATGCATATAGTGATAGTTGTACACATTTCTGTGTCAATTAATGCATATAGTGATAGTTGTACACATTCCTGTGTCAATTAATGCATATAGTGATAGTTGTACATATTCCTGTGTCAATTAATGCATATAGTGATAGTTGTACACATTCCAGTCTCCATGAAACGTTTCGAATTATTAAGTAATATAATTAGGAGAAAATAACATTTCGTCATGAAGACTTTTGAGTTTCTTACCACCGTGGCAATACCTGGGTCATTATGACACTGGAACTCTAACATCCACGTACCCCTGCCATTGGGCATCCAACACAAATATCACCATCTCTTTGGACCTTCAACAAAAGCACCACCACCTCCTACTACCTTCAGCAATAGCTTCACCATCTCTTTGGACCTTCAGCAATAGCTTCACCAACTCTTTAGACCTTCAGCAATAGCTTCATCAACTCTTTGGACCTTCAGCAATAGCTTCACCAACTCTTTAGACCTTCAGCAATAGCTTCACCAACTCTTTGGACCTTCAACAATAGCTTCACATCTCTTTGGACCGTCAACAATAGCTTCACAATCTCTTTGGACTTTTTTCAATAACTTCACCAACCCTTTGGACCTTCAACAATAGCTTCACCATCTCTTTGGACCGTCAACAATAGCTTCACCATCTCTTTGGACCGTCAACAATAGCTTCGCCATCTCTTTGCACCTTGAACAATAGCTTCATCATCTCTTTGGACTGTTAACAATAACTTCATCATCTCTTTGCACCTTTAACAATAGCTTCTCATGATCTCTTTGAACCGTCAACAATAGCTTCGCCATCTCTTTGCACCTTGAACAATAGCTTCATGATCTCTTTGGACCGTCAACAATAGCTTCATCATCTCTTTGGACCGTCAACAATAGCTTCATCATCTCTTTGGACCGTCAACAATGGCTTCGCCATCTCTTTGGACCGTCAACAATAGCTTCATCATTTCTTTGGACCTTCAACAATAGCTTCGCCATCTCTTTTCACCTTGAACAATAGCTTCATCATCTCTTTGGACCGTCAACAATAGCTTCGCCATATCTTTGCACCTTGAACAATAGCTTCATGATCTCTTTGGACCGTCAACAATAGCTTCGCAATCTCTTTGGACCGTCAGCAATAGCTTCACCATCTCTTTGGACCGTCAACAATAGCTTCATCATCTCTTTGGACCGTCATCAGTAGCTTTGCAATCTCTTTGGACCTTCAACAATAGCTTCACCATCTCTTTGGACAGTCAACACTAGCTTCACCATCTCTTTGGACTTTCAACAATAGCTTCACCATCTCTTTGGACCTTCAACAATAGCTTCACCAACTCTTTGGACCTTCAACAATAGCTTCACCAACTCCTAGTACCTTCAGCAACAGCTTCACCAACTCTTTGGACCTTCAGCAATAGCTTCACCAACTCTTTGGACCGTCAACAATAGCTTCACCATCTCTTTGGACCGTCAAAAATAGCTTCACCATCTCTTAGGACTTTTAACAATAACTTCACCAACTCTTTGGACCTTCAACAATAGCTTCACCATCTCTTTGCATCTTGAACAATAGCTTCACCATCTCTTTGGACCGTCAACAATAGCTTCAACATCTCTTTGGACCGGCAACAAAAGCTTCACCATCTCTTTGCACCTTGAACAATACATTCATCATCTCTTTGGACCATCAACAACAGCTTCACCATCTCTTTGCACCTTGAACAATAGCACCACACTCTCTCTCGACCATCAACTCTATCAAAAAGCATGACCATCTCTTTGGACCCTCAGCAATATAATCACCATCTCTTTGGGCCATCAACAATGTCAAAAGCATTACCATCTGTCTGAAGACCTTATGGTCTCACTCATCTATGCATATTCTAAAACTAAGTGGGAGACAAATGGTGCACAAGCCCCCGCAGCTGACTGAATCCAGCAAAGAGCTATATTTGTATCGTATCTAAACAAGATATAACGAAAGCCCTTAAACAAGCCGTAAGGCATTGCAACAAAACTTGTGTAAAGAGTAATAGTTTAATAAGTATTTTGTTGTATTAACATAATTCTGATACACCTTAGTACGATGACAGGTTTTTTATTTTATGTTTTTAGATTTAAAAAAAAATTGAGAGAAATATAATTCAACAACACTTGTACGTAAGCTATTAGCTAGAGTCTTCATGGCAACTCACAATGTATACAAACACTTAGCTAGAATCTTCATGGCAACTCATGACGTATACAAACAGCTAGAGTCGTCATTGCAACTCACCATGTATACAAACACTTAGCTAGAGAGGTCATGGTAACTCACCATGTATAAAAACAGTTCGCTAGAGTCGTCATGGCAACTCACCATGTATACATGTAGTTAACTTGATGCTTGTTGCCAACTCCCGCAAATAGTAAATAGTGCGAGTTTGGTTTTTTCTTGAAGAAAATCCTGCACAGTTTGAGCAATACATTTTAAAGAGGTTTGTTTGTGTTTTCCCCCTAGAGCAATCAAACGATATAGATACATAGATAGAGACAGGTACAGACATAGGTACAAATGGAGAGACAGAATTTAGGAGCTGTTTGAGCTGCAAAAAATTTGAGCGTGTATAAGAAAATGAAGGGGTATTTACTATTTTAAATCTCTCTGCTGAAGCTCCGGGGGGTGGGGGATGTCAATTTGACAACTGTCTAAAGATTAGTAAAAACAAACGATCATAGAATCCCCCTCCCCCAAACCCACTAGCCACCAACACCCCCCCCCTTTTTAAAAAAAAATAATAAATACATAAATTTTAAAACTATACAACCACGCTATTGTAAGTCACTTTTCATCCACCGATGTACATGAGCGCTGCCAAAACCTGTTGCCTTAAGAAATGTTCTAACTTCTTGCCTTCAAATCAATATTTCTTGGGGCCCCTCCATAAAGTACATTACGCTCCGAAGATGGAGAGTTGGGGGGAGAGACTAAGAAAGTGTGACACTTTGTGACTCGGAAGGGTTAGGGGGGGGGGATGGTGTAAAGATCTTGTGTAATGTCACACATTTTAAATTTTTCTATCATACATGTAAAACCTAAAATTGACGGTATTGTTGAAGTTTCTAATGTGACAGTATAAATTGAATAGTTGAACTGTGAAACGTGCTTTAGAAAAATTTTTACACGTTTTTAAATTTAAAAAAAAAATAATTTTTTTTTACTTATAAACTTTGGAGTAGGTATGTGCGGGGGTGGGGTGGGTATTTGTGACAGATTGTGACGGGGTGAGGGAGAGGGTAATAAATGTCCAAAAATAGTGTGATCTATTTCATGGACGGTCCCCCTTGTGGGCGTTAAAGCAGCCAAGAACAAAATGGCTACGTATCTATCCATTTTTGCTTTTTTAAAATATCCTGCATAATATCATTGCATTAGAAAATGAAAAATGTAAAATGAAAAGATATAAGAGATATAAACAGTTACTATAGATCTGTCATAAACTCACCAAAAAATTGTTTATTTAAACACATATCGTATGGAATTTTTTTTAAAATTTAAATAACTATATGAAAATGTTGTTTATTTTTTTGCATAGAGGGAAAAAAGGTCAAAGCAGAAAACAGCTCTTATCATTTATTTCAAATGTGGCCAGGTGATTGTTTAAATGTGGGATGCCAGAGTAAGTTTTGTGTTACACACTCTTCGGCTTTGTGAGGAAAAAGAAGGTGTGGGGTGAGGGTGGGGGTGTCAGTTGGTGGGGGGAGGGGTTCAAATTTGCTTAAACTGTTGTTTTCAATGATTTGACCTAATTTTCAGATGTTACTCTCATCACTCTCCAGCAGACACCCAAAAGCTATCAGAGAAAGTCCTTTATTGTAGGTAATGTTTTCCTCAGGCTAATGTCATGTTCTTACGGGAGATTTATTGAATTAGATCAACAGAAGCGGGTGTGAAATGGTTCTTGACACTTGTTTTAATAAGTTCATTACGTAATGGGCATGTTTTGCTTCATGACATCACGCAATGACAAAGCAATAGCAAAGCTTATAATTGTCAATTAAAGCTTTTGTAAATATATCCTACGCTTGTAATCTTGTAGCAGGAACTGTTGGACGAGGCCTTAAGTGAAATGACATGACAAGATGGTTGACAAGGCCTTAAGTGAAATGACATGACAAGATGGTTGACAAGGCCTTAAGTGAAATGACATGACAAGATGGTTGACAAGGCTTTGAGTGAAATGGCATGACAAGATGGTTGACAAGGCCTTAAGTGAAATGACATGACAAGATGGTTGAAAAGGCCTTAAGTGAAATGACATGACAAGATGGTTGACCAGGCCTTGAGTGAAATGACATGACAAGATGGTTGACAAGACCTTAAGTGAAATGACATGACAAGATGGTTGACAAGGCCTTGAGTGAAATGACATGACAATACGGTTGACAAGGCCTTAAATGAAATGACATGACAAGGTGGTTGACGGGGTCTTTTAAGTGAAATGACATGACAAGATGGTTGACAAGGCCTTAAGTGAAATGACATGACAAGATGGTTGACGAGGTCTTTTAAGTGAAATGACATGACAAGATGGTTGACGAGGTCTTTTAAGTGAAATGGTGTTAGCAGGATCTAATTAATGTTGGTGAAAAATTTGACACAGCGTAACTTTAAGTTTTTAGCACATTCATGAACATTCAAAATTTATGAAGAACATTTATTTTTAAAAAAGACGTAAATTTAAGACACTGCTGTTTTCAATGTTTAAATGATTAAGCATGTGAAAGAAAGCACAATGTCTGATCAAGAAAATTTGCTATTATGTCAATATACAGGTAAGTCTTGGCCATACTATATCCTACGTCAATAGAGGTATAAGTCTCGGTCATATCATGTCTTCTTACAATAGAGTGAGTGGTACATCTGTTGCGCCAGGTCTTCTGTCGTCAGAAGGGTGCGTCTATTTCATTCCTACCGCTTGTCCGCAAAGAGACTAAGTCCCTGACACATGCTAAGCAATGGTTCTCAAAGTATACTTTAAAAAAATGACTAGGCTACGATCGATTATGAGGTCAAAGCTACTCCAACAAGTTACTTCTTATGAGAAATGATGCAAATAATAAAAAAAAGTTTAAGACATTCATAAATGACGTCACACGTCCAATATCCAAGAGCCTCAGAAATAATGGTTTGTAAGCAGCACAAGAAAAGGATTGTTCAAATTTCAATAGTGTAAGAGACCGCCATTCTCAGTAGTTGGAATCGTTTTTCCTTCCACAAATTTGCGCACATCCCCGAAAGTCCACACCGAATCTGGTGCAATCTGCATCACTGCCGCATGGTGTAGTTGTAGTTGTTAATGTGTCAGACAGTGACCGGATCATGGATGTCGTCATCGTTATTCCCTGGCCATGGATTGGACTCCCGGGACCTGAACTTCTTGCGCTTCCTGCACTAAGGCACACAGGGGGCAGCAGCAGATCAACAGCAGATCGTTGAAGGTTGAGCCTGGGATTCCCCGCTGCTCGCGGATTTTCCCTCGAATTTTAATGGCGGCCACCAGGTTGACGATCGGCACGAGATAGGCCACGCCGCACGTGCAGCACGACTCACCGATGGCCTCGGAGTTCTTGCCGAAAGTGTAGCACGGCACGAAGTAGGAGATGATGCAGAGACCGAAGTTGTCGAAACAGCCGAAGAGGCCATGTTGCCAGTCTCCAGACATTTTGTTTCAAGAGGAGATAATAAAGGTAACCTGTATCCTAAACAATGATGGCGACCAGGGCTGATAAATCCAAATAATTTTATGAATTTGGCTAGTTATCCGCCGTGAAACTCCGAGTATAAAATATCCACAGTTCAGTTGAAAACTCCTTGAAGTGAGTCTGGGGAAAAAAAGAGAGAAAGCCGTTATTGATATTATGTTGCACAAATTAATGAAGTTCACTTTTAAAATTAAATTTTAAAACTACATTATGCACCAAAGGTAACAGTACTAAAATGGCCGTAAAAATTACAGCGTATGTGCGTTTGTCGCCGTGGCATCGCTCCAGCTGCAACGTGTTCTCTGAGGGGTCCAAAAAAAATGTGTGGGGCTATTGTTGTTTGAAATGGGTCTCTCTAAGGAGGACACATTTTTCACATTTGACCATCATGTCCTCACCTACATCGGTGATCAAATAATTGTGAAATAGGCGATCATGCTAGTATGAAGGGGAAGGAAATGGACGGAGAAGGTATGTGGAAGCTTGAAAAAGAAAGACAGGACAATAAAAGAATAACTTTTCGGCTAAGAGCATTGCTCAGCAGACCGGACATTAAAAAAAAAGAAAAAAGAAATGGAAATTAGTTTAAAAAACTTAGTTTTCGGCATTGAATTTATTGCCGGATTAAATGACGTGCCAACCTGTTACTGAAAATACTAGTATTGCAAGAAACTGTAATCTTTTTGATCTATATGTCATTTATATGCCATCTGTATGTCATCTCTAAGTGATGTAGTTGTCATATCTAGAAATCATGGATCGAGCACAATAACATCTTCAATACAAGAAGACATCCTTCTCACATCTATAAATGGGTTCAAATCTCTAAAAAAATGAAGCTGTGCTTGGATTGGTCAATGGACGTTCATTCAAAGTTTATTGGTCGTAATGGTGCTTTGCACGGATTGGTCAATAGCTGCTCATTTAAAGCTTATTGGTGGTAATGGTGTTGTGCTCTGATTGGTCAATGGCGGTTAATTCAAAGCTTATTGGTCTTAATGATGCTGTGATCTGATTGGTCAATAGCTGCTCATTCAAAGATTATTGGTCGTAATGATGGTGTGCTTTGATTGGTCAATGGCTGTTCATTCAAAGCTTTTTGGTCGTAATGATGGTGTGCTCCTACTGCTCAATGACTGCTCATTTAAAGTTTACTGGCCGTCGAGCAGAAAAAAAAAAAAATATATATATAACTTTAAAAAATAAAGTTTTGAATCAAAAACTGATTTTAAAAAATAAAGAAAAAACTTTAATATATTTCGCGAGTCCTCCCAAAAAATAAATTTTTGAATCAAAAACTGATTTTAAAAAAAAAAGAAAAAACTTTAATATATTTCGCGCGTCCTCCCCCCCCCCCCCCCAAAACTCGCCGCCTGCTCACTGAATGACATGTCCGCTGCCCACGAAACACATTTAAGGCTTTAAGCAATAATTGTGCCGATCACCCGTTGGTCGTATCCTAGTCGAACGCTTATAGCCGTAACCCAGGTGTCACTTAAGTCCCCCCCCCCTTGCCTGGAAAATAAAGAGTGTTGGTTTGAATTCAAATCATTTATGGTTGTGTCCCCTCAACAGCTGGTCCCGTATGTTAACAGGTCAGCTGTTACACGGAGTGAGGGAAAGGACCACATCAGTACAAACAGATGTTGAAAGTTATACTCAAAAGAATTTAGTTTGAGCTAGTGGTCGTTGTGGAAATGGCCTCCCTTAACACTGCGGCTCAACAAGATCAATGAGAACAGGGCATTGACGTAGGAAGGGGGGTGGGGGCGAAAAAGGGGGGGGCGGTGTTCAACGGAGATACTTTTGGTATTATATTTATTTTTAAGGGGAGTCATTTTCGGGAGAGTTTAGAGTTGTTTCGTTGAAGGGATTGGCAAACATTGTCGTCTGCCCCGTACGGCTCTAACAGTGTTGCGTCGCCGCTGCGACGTGGTAGAATAGATGATTGAACTACAAGCTTATGTCACCTTTATCAAATATATTGAGACCAGAATGAAGAAATACATTAAGACCAACAGACGGGAAAACAGCTATCGAGACCAACAGTTTGGAAAAATACAGCTTTAGAGACCAAGAGACGGAAAAAAAAATAGAGAGACCAAAGCACGGGGGGGGGGGAACTATAGAAACCAACAGACGGGAAAACAATTATAAAGACCAACAGACGGAAAACAAACATAGAGACAAACAGATGAAAATAACTACAATAGAGAACAACAGAGGGGAAAACGACTATAGAGATCAACAGTTTGGAAAACAGCTATAGAAACCAAAAGAAGGGAAAAAGACCTTAGAGACCAACAGACGGTAAAAAAAACAAATATAGAAACCAAAAGACGGGAAAACAAATATAGAAACCAACAGATTGGAAAACAAATATAGAGACCAACAAACGGGAAAACAAATATAGAGACCAACAGACGGGCAAAGAAATATAGAGACCAACAGACGGGAAAACAAATATAGAGGCCAACAGACGGGAAAACAAATATAGAGACCAACAGACAGGAAAACAAAAAGAGAGACCAGTAGACGGGAAAACAAATATAGAGACCAACAGATGGGCAAACAAATATAGAGACCAACAGACGGGAAAACAAAAAGAGAGACCAGTAGACGGGAAAACAAATATAGAGACCAACATACGGGAAAACAAATATAGAGACCAACAGACGGGAAAACAAATATAGAGACCAAAAGACGGGCAAATAAATATAGAGACCAACAGACGGGCAAAGAAATATAGAGACCAACAGACGGGAAAACAAATATAACAAATATAGAGATCAACAGACGGGAAAACAAATATAGAGACTAACAGACGGGAAAACAAATATAGAGACCAACAGACGGGAAAACAAATATAGAGACCAAAAGACGGGCAAAGAAATATAGAGACCAACAGACGGGCAAAGAAATATAGAGACCAACAGACGGGAAAACAAATATAGAGACTAGCATACAAGAAAACAAATAGAGAGACAAAAAGACGGGAAAACAAATATAGAGGCCATCAGACGGGAAAACAAATATAGAGACCAACAGACGGGAAAACAAATATAGAGGCCAACAGACAAGAAAACAAATATAGAGACAAAAAGACGGGAAAACAAATATAGAGGCCATCAGACGGGAAAACAGCTACAGCGAGGGAGATTGGGGGGGGGGGGGATACACACTGGCACTTATTATTGCGCAAGATCATTATTCTTACTTTTCATTTTTATTCAGTTAGCAATTCGGTTTTCGTTATTTAGGGGCGGCAAAATCAAGGACTCTTGGAGTAAAATAAATCTGATTGCTACCATAAATATATCCAGGAACATCAGTCACTCCATTAACAAAAAATATTCAGTTTGACACATCTGGACCATTGAATGAATAAAATAATATTCCCACAACATGTCCTCCATTATTTTCTAATTTTAGCATCGTTAGCGAGAGGGCCTGGACCCAGACAATTTAGGACCGATCAAGCAAAAATCTAGGCCAAACAATCACAGTAATCTCAGAAACTCTTTATGGGCCCATCTGACGCAATGTTTTATGAGCTGTTAAAGTGGACTTGTAATGAAATAAATGATAGAAGAGAATGCTAAAAAGCAAGTCACTTACAAAAGGAAAGAAAAAAGTCTGACTTTGGCACGGTAATTAAAATGGATATTCTGATTTGGTCAGAAAGCGTTGACAGCAAGATTGGTGAGGCTACAGATAAGAGATGGGGGGGGGGAGCACAGACTACAGATTAGGGGGGCAGACAAAGGATAAGTGGGGAAGACTACAGACAAAGTGGTCGGACTACAGACAAAGGGGGTCAGACTACAGACAACGGGTCAGACTAGAGACAAGGGGATCAGAAGGGGGAGGAGAGACTACAGAGTAGGGGGGCAGACAAAGGATAAGTGGGGAAGACTACAGACAAAGTGGTCGGACTACAGACAAAGGGGGTCAGACTACAGACAACGGGTCAGACTAGAGACAAGGGGATCAGACTACAGACAAGGCGGTCAGACTAAAGAAATGGGGGTCAGACTAAAATCAACGTATCAGACTACAAACAAGGGGGTCAGCCTACAGACAACGGGTCAGACTACAGACAAGGGGGTCAGACTACAGTTAACGAGTCAGACTACAGACAAGGGGGTCAGACTACAGACAACGGGTCAGACTAAAGACAATGGGGTCAGACTACAGACAACGGGTCAGACTACAGCCAAGGGGGTCAGACTACTGACAATGGGTCAGACTACAGACAACCGGTCAGACTACAGACAAGGGGGTCAGACTACAGACAATGGATCAGACTACAGACAAAGGGGTCAGACTACAGACAATGGGTCAGACTACAGACAAGGGGGTCAGACTAAAGACAAGGGGATCAATCTACAGACACGAGTGGAAACAAAATGGGGGGGGGGGGGGGGGGGTCAAACTAAGTTCTTAGATACATAGAGAATATGTCCTGACAAAATCACCGACCACAGCCCAGGCCCAAAATCAAATATGACAGGCTGGCAATATGTTTGACAAAGAAACTGAATAGGACTTGCTGTAATCTGTTGGCCAAAGAAACCAAATAGAACATGCGGTCATTTGCTGGCCCAAAAAAAAAAAAAGGACAGGATGTCATCTGTTGGCCTAAGAAACCCATAAGAAAGTTTGTCGTCTGTTGGCCAAAGAATCCAATAATACAAGCTGCAATATGTTGGCCACAGAACTAACAGGACATAGTGTTATGTTGATCACAGAACCAAAAGGCCAGTCATTTTGACCACAAACTGTAGGCCAGTCATGTTGACCACAGAACCAACAAGCCAGTGACGTTGAACACAGAACCAATAGGCCGGTAACGCTGACCACAGAACAAACAGACCAGACTGGGAAAGTTTCAGCCAGACAGGGCGGAGGTCAGAAATGAATCAATCGATGCCAGAACACTGGTCACTTTTCGTGTTCTGATGATGACGACCCAGATCTTATCAAACGAAGAGTTGGGTGCCGGTGGGCCATCCCTCTTTGAGCTGCTATGATTACGTTAGACGGAGTGTGTCGAAGGAAGGAATGTGTCAAAATAGTGTGTTAAAGGAAACAGTGTGTTAAAGGAAACAGTGTGTTAAAGGAAACAGTGTGTTAAAGGAAACAGTGTGTTAAAGGAAACAGTGTGTCAAAGGAAGGATTGGGTCAAAGGAAGGAGGGTGTCAAAGGAAGGAGTGTGTCAAAGGAAGGAGTGTGTCAAAAGAAGCAGTGTGTCAAAGGAAGGAGTGTGTTAAAGGAAACAGTGTGTCAAAAGAAGGAGTGTGTCAAAGGAAGCAGTGTGTCAAAAGAAGGAGTGTGTCAAAGGAAGGAGTGTGTCAAAGGAAGGATGCGGAGTGGTATGAATAAGATACACGGAGTGTGTCAAAGGAAGGAGTGTGTCAAAAGAAGGAGTGTGTCAAAGGAAGGAGTGTGTTAAAGGAAACAGTGTGTCAAAAGAAGGAGTGTGTCAAAGAAAGCAGTGTGTCAAAAGAAGGAGTGTGTCAAAGGAAGGAGTGTGTCAAAGGAAGGATGCGGAGTGGTATGAATAAGATACACGGAGTGTGTCAAAGGAAGGAGTGTGTCAAAAGAAGGAGTGTGTCAAAGGAAGGAGTGTGTCAAAGGAAGGAGTGTGTCAAAGGAAGGATGAGGATTGCTATGAATAAGATACACCGAGTGTGTCAAAGGAAGGAGTGTGTCAAAAGAAGGAGTGTGTCAAAGGAAGGAGTGTGGCAAAGGAAGGATGAGGATTGCTATGAATAAGATACACGGAGTGTGTCAAAGGAAGGATGAGGATTGCTATAAATAAGATACACGGAGTGTGTCAAAGGAAGGATGAGGATTGCTATGAATAAGATACACGGAGTGTGTCAAAGGAAGGATGAGGATTGCTTTGAATAAGATACACGGAGTGTGTCAAAGGAAGGATGAGGATTGCTATGAATAAGATACACGGAGTGTGTCAAAGGAAGGATGAGGATTGCTTTGAATAAGATACACGGAGTGTGTCAAAGGAAGGATGAGGATTGCTATGAATAAGATACACGGAGTGTGTCAAAGGAAGGATGAGGATTGCTCTAGTTTAAGGAAACAATGATGTGTAGCCAGAGATTGTAACGCCCCTAGTTTGACTTTACCGCCTCTCAATTACAAACGGCCCCCTTTCCGGAACCCACCAGAAAACATTCATAAGACCCATCAAGCATTAGCTATACACATCATTTGTGCACCGATAAGCCCCCCCCCCACCTCCAGAAAATTGCAATATTGGGGGGGGGGGGGACAGCCTGCTCATCCTCAACCAGTGCTAATGGGCGAAGTTAATTTTTTTTTTTTTTTTGGAGAGAGGTGGGTGCTGCCTTTCGGATTTCAGACGTTATTGTCGCTAGGCTATACGTACAGGATCATGGCATCCTATCGTCTACTCCGGTTTCAGCCAGTTGGATCTAGTTTTGGAAAAAACACCAGATTCCCTCAAGCAGTTATGTCTGTTCCACTTCCTTACAGCGGTTGCTACACATCAGGGGCACCTACCCCCCTTCTCCCTCTATAGAATCCCCTTCTACAGATACAATTTCACATTCTCTCTCCCTCCCCCCCCTTTTTTTTCCGTGCCCTTTCATTGTATTAATCAGTGGACGTTGACGTGTTGCTCAGAGAGAAATTATTTATAGCGTTCAATTTGAGATGACCAAAAACGCGTAGCTTGAATTACACGTCTAGGACTTGGCATTGGATACTATGGTTATTACTCATTAATGTCAACACCTGATTGAAGGACATTTATTAAACTGACTTCTTAACGAACTGTCAAAATCGACAAAGAGCTGATTGTTCCGAACATTCAATGAATTACTTTTTTTTTTTTTTTTTTTGTGGTTGATAATTTTTTTTTCAATTTAATTTTATTTTTCAAAAGAAAAGTAATTTCCACTTGTACACACGAGACAGTGTGATTGATAGGGACGGTGGAACAAGGTTCAATAGACGGGAACGATCAAACAAGGTCCCTTGATGGGAACAATAAAAGAAGGTTCCACTGATAGGAACAATAAAACAAGGTTCCCTTGATGGGAACCGTAAACAAGGTTCCATTGATGGAAACAGTTAAACAAGGTTCCATTAAAACAAAGGTACCATTGATGGGAACAGTAAAACAAGATTCCATTAATGGGAACATTAAAACAACGTTCCATTGATTGGAACAGTAAAACAAGGTTCCATTAAAACAAGGTACCATTGATGGGAACAGTAAAACAAGGTTCTTTTGATGGGAACAGTATAACAAACATCTATTGTATTTGAAAAATAAAATGTTTTATGTATAAATACTGCAATTATTTGTAATTAAAGGGAAACAATTGTAAACGAATTCTAACTTCCCCTGGCGGCTAACGCTTGCAGAGTGGATGTAACCATGGTAGTGACATTGTTCGATCTCGCAATTAAGATTTGTTTCGGTTCTTGTCATTCACAAAATGGGTTCTTCAAATCCGAATGTATGCGTAATTGGAGAGTTTTTGTCATGAGGAAGTGAAAAAGTACAAACAAGATTTTGGTCCTGCACATGATTAGTTTGTCTCAATAATTAATTAGATTTCTCCTTTTTAATTCCTAACGCTTATTTTTGAAAGACTGGTGAAATGTTTTTTCAAAAACGGAAATAAGAAAAACACGGAAAACTAAAAGCGTATCGGCCAAACGCTTACCTCGGCGAACATCAAATGGACCATAATAAATGAAGGACACATGGAAAGAAGAACAAACATTCTAATTAAACCAAGTCCAAGTTTTATAAAAGAGGATGAGAAGGAAATGTTGTCACTGGGAGAATGAGATACAAATGTTGCGACTCTTACACTAGTGGTTGCCTTGTGTCCAACATTCTCATTTTAAGACATGATTGTACCTTCTCAATGTTGTACTCATGGTTCCCGTGGGATCAAGCGGACACGAGATGTCAGGTTTCTAAAAGGTCTCCGATGCGTCGGTGGTTATGGATGTCAGTTTGGATGTCTTGTCTTAAAATTTTACTTCTATTCGCTTAAAAATAAAAATGTTGAAGTTTTTACACCGTGTACTTCAGGCAGTAAATTCCCATTCTAATTAAAATATATTTTTGGCCTTCTGGGAATATTAATTCAGGATTAATCTAGTCCTGAGTGTCCAGTTCTGTGAAATGTGTTAATATAGTCATTTATGTATGGAGTGTCCAGTTCTGTGAAATGTGTTAATCTATTCATTTTATGTATGGAGTGCCCCAGTTATCTGATGCGACCAGGCGGGGAATGTCAACAGCATGAACACGCCTACATCCAACGGATGTGACAGGTGTGACAGGCACAAATCAATCACACAGCGAGTAATCGGGTTTACCGGGTCGGCGATCTAAGTCCGACAACAGTTTGACACCGCTTTACAAGTTTCCTCCATTGTGTCAACTGTGTGTCACCCTGCAACCGGGTTGGGGGGGGGGGAGGATTTTGTCATCTTGAATGTGTCCAGTATGTAGGGTTTCTCTGCAAACTTTAAATGTGTTCAAACACTTAAACTGCACTCTTGAATGTGTTCATAACATTATCCTTTTCATCGTAAATAACTTATTTTTAAAAAAAAATGAAATTTGTGTTCCAGTACATATGTATTAAAACTTGATCAATTCAACAGAATCGCATATTTTTGGTTGTTGTTAAAGGTGAGTACGACAACGCTGTCTTAAGTCATCAAGATGCTTCAGTTTTTTAATGATATATCTAAAAATTATTCTTTTTTTTTAAACGCTGAACTCTATTATTAATCAATTATGTGGGAGTTATAAGGAATGATGAATCGAAATATTTAAGGTTGGTCCAGGAGCAAAGTGGAGCGACACGAGAAGGTATCTCTGCGAAGTAGAGGAAGCCGGTCCAGGAGCAATGTGGATGGGCGGGACAAGTTATTATGGCGAAATAGAGCAAACCAGTTCAGTCCAGTAGAGAGAGGCAAGTGCGCGCGGGGGAAGGTGGGGGGGGTGCGCAGTAGTGCAAACCGGTCAGAGGAACTTCACAGTATCTGAGGTTTGGAGTTTAGAAACTGAGAGAGAGGGATTCTTTTCTCACTGATAAATCGGATGCATTGTGAGGGTGGGGGAGGGAGGGGGAGAGAGGTTTCCTCCATGATCTTGGTCGTTGTCAGATTGGCTCCAGCAGTCCGGCGAGCATCCCCGGGTAAAATGCAAGGATGTTAACACTAGGTAAGTAACAAACTGGTCCAACAAAAAACTGGTCCAGCAAGAAACTGGTCCAACAACAAACTGGTCCAACAACAAACTGATCCAACAACAAACTGATCCAGCAACAAACTGGTCCAGCAACAAACTGGTCCCGCAACAAACTGGTCCAACAAGAAACTGGTCCACCAACAAACTGGTCCAACAAGAAACTGGTCCAACAACAAACTGGTCCAACAACAAACTGATCAAACAACAAACTTATCAAGCAACAAACTGGTCCAGCAACAATGTGGTCCAGCAAAAAACTGGTCCAGCAACAAACTGGTCCCGCAACAAACTGGTCCAACAACAAACTGGTCCAACAAGAAACTGGTCCAACAACAAACTGGTCCAACAAGAAACTGGTCCAAAAACAAACTGATCCAACAACAAAGTGGTCCAACCACAAACTGGCCCAACAACAATCTGATCCAACAAGAAACTGGTCCAACAAAAAACTGGTCCAGCAACAAACTGTTCCAACAACAAACTGGTCCAACAACAAACTGGTCCAGCAACAAACTAATCCAACAAGAAACTGGTCCAGCGAAAAACTGGTCCAGCAACAAACTGCTGCAACAACAAACTGGTCCAGCAACAAACTGATCAAGCAACAAAACAAAGTGGTCCAACCACAAACTGGCCCAACAACAATCTGATCCAACAAGAAACTGGTCCAACAAAAAACTGGTCCAGCAACAAACTGTTCCAACAACAAACGGGTCCAACAACAAACTGGTCCAGCAACAAACTTGTCCAACAAGAAACTGGTCCAGCAAAAAACTGGTCCAGCAAGAAACTGGTGCAACAACAAACTGGTCCAGGAACAAACTGATCCAGCAACAAACTGGTCCAGCAACAAACTGGTCCAACAACAAACTGGTCCAGCAACAAACTGATCCAACAATAAACTGGTCCAATATCAAACTGATCCAACAAGAAACTGGTCCAACAAAAAAATGGTCCAGCAACAAACTGTTCCAACAACAAACTGGTCCAACAACAAACTGGTCCAGCAACAAATTTGTCCAACAAGAAACTGGTCCATCAACAAACTGGTCCAACAAGAAACTGGTGCAGCAACAAATTAGTCCAACATTGGTCGATGATCAACAGATATAAGGGAACATGGGTTTTCTTGCAGCTGAACTCTATGCAATGTTTGCCCTTTCAATGCACATCTGCTCAGTCCCTTAAGCTCTCCTAGAGCTGAACTTTATGCAATGTTTGCCGTTCAATGCACATTTGCTCAGTCCCTTAAGCTCTCCTCGAGCCCAAACCACCCCACACTCCCACACCACTACTCACACCAACCAACAAAAAATAGTATTTAACAAATGTTTCTTTTTAAATAATATTTGAATATTTGCATTTTTGTTTTGTTCTTTCAGATGAATAAATTCACCATTCCGTAATCTTTATTTTTAAAAAAAAAACTTAATGGAAATAGCATGAGATAGCCACATTTGTTTCAATTCACTTTTTTTTGTAAAATTTTGTGCTAGAATAGCAAAGCGGTCATGTGTTAGTATGCGCTGTCATTGCTGTGTATAACACACGTCACATGTGTTTACAACTCTTACTCCCCTACCTACATCTCCCCCGTGATATCCTGTGATAGATGTGTGTGACATATGCCATATTTTTTTTTGTTACGCAAACTCATCCCCCCTGTAACACCTCCCTCCTGTGTTTGCTGTCATTGATGTATGTGACATATGTCAGATCTCTTTACTACGCGAAATCATGCCCAACATCTCCCCACCCTCCACCCCCCCACCCCCCGATATCGCCTGTCACTTATGTATCACATAATACGACCATACAAAAATGTAGCGAAAACATCTCTAAATGATCTGTCTCTGTAAGCAGATGCTGGTGTAATTACTCAGATTAAATGATACAGAAAGAAACGAAAGAAGACACTTACTTACTATTTGTAATCGCTGGTTGCGTTCTTAGATTGGTTTGAAAACAACACTCAAATCCCCAGCCACGCACCACAAAGTGACACACCCACTGAGGATATTTCAGTCTGCATCCCAGAAATATTATCCTACTTTGTTCAAGACTGCGAGCAGAGCGAGAGAATGTTCAAGTACATCTAGGGGTCGTTACGATTACCCGGAATCGCATTCGCGATACCGAGCTTAATGTTAGTGTGGGGACATTTTTAAACAGATAAGACGCGAATATCGGAACAAAAAAAAAGTCTCTTAAATATTGTCAAGAGATTCCCACCAAGGGATTTTAAGAGCGTTACAAGTTACAGTCGATGACGTAGGAAAGGGGAACAAAGTGTGTGTGTCCGGGGGGGGGGGGTATTTATACTCGGTTGCGGCATTTTTTGGCCAACTGCAGAGTTTTATTCGTGGCATGCGGTTGACGGAAATCTTGTTTTGGCCTGGCCTCATGCGGCACTAATCCCAGCTACGCCACCAGGGTCGTAGTAATTGTACTGGTTACAGCGTTCACAAACTAACCATTACGTCCAGCAGACACGTCCGTTGTGTAGTTGCATCCTTTTTTTCCCAGGTTTTTCCCCATACTTTATGTGACATATTTCTTTGTAACCACTTACTACCGGGATCTTGTTGACACAACATCTAGGTGTTCAGCGTCAATTATCATGACTGTGCCACTACAATCAATACATAGATGAAGGTGATGATTGACACCATTGGTTTCTTTGGCTCTTCCTCCCTTGTACGCAGTTTATTCTTCTATATTTAAAAAAAAATATATGTATATAAAAAGGGGTGGAGCTCTGAAGGGGTGGAGCTCTGAAGGGGTGGAGCTCTGAATGGGCGAGTCTCTGAAAGGATAATGCTCGGGAAGGGTGAAATTCTGAAGGGGTGGAGCTCTAAACAGGTCAAGCTCCGAAGGAGAGGAACGTTAAACGTTTGGATCTCTGAAAGGGACGAGCTCTGAATGGGTGGAGCTCTGAATCGGCGGGGTTCTGAAAGGGAAAAACTCGGGAAGGGTTAAACTCTGAAGGGGTGGAGCTCTGCGGGGGGTGGAGCTCTACATGAATATAGTTCTAAACGGGTGGNCCCCCCGATCCCGCGATTTTCATTTCCGTAAAGGAAATAAAATATAACTAATCACACATCGTATTTGTGAAATGATGATTATGATTTTTTTATTTCTTTATTTGCTACCGGAAATAAAAGTAGTGATGTCTTAAAGAAAATAAAAAAAATACGTTTCTTAAAGAACAAAATGAAAACGGTTTTCTCGAATGAACATGATCATTTATTTATTATTTTTGTTTGCATCACTGAACCACTCAGTGATTGTACAACATAATGCTGATAGCATAGGATCAAATGTGACGGTACCAGTAAACAGTAGATGGTGAAACTGACGCCCACATATAGGGATAGACCAACCATCACAGGCGCTCGTGTGGGCTTCAGTCCTGGCCGCAATGAGCCACTCAACGTGCCTCATGAATTTCATTTGGTGGCGTGGACCCCCGAAGTGTGTGTGGGGGGGGGGTTGTTGAGTTTATGGGTTTATGAATGGAAAAGACATTATATTTCCATTCACAAAAATAATGGAAAGAATTAAAGGTGCGAAAACATGGGGCGTGCGGGGTGTGGGGGCGTTGGGTGTGGACTCCCGGATAGGACTGAAACAAAAAGTTTAACGATTTGTTGTTAAGACGCATGTCCAATGGTTTTAGGGCATTCAGACTCATGTTCCAAAAGACGTCATGCTTTCGTATCTGGCCCATGCAGATTCTGTAGGCCAACGAACTTGTTGTGCAGTTTTCTTAGAGATTATCTCACGTAACGCGGACGCGTTGAAACAGTTGTGACCATGAAAAGATTCCTGGGACCAATAGATAGTTAACTTTTTCGCTAAACAATTTATTATTTTGGAGGGAACCATTCATTTGCTTTAATAATTTGAACATTTCTTTCAAATCGCAAACTTTAGGTTGATAATCACGTTCAGTGAATTTTCCATCAGAAAGCCGTAAGTTGTTTCCCTCAGAAAGCCAGAATTGGTTTCCATCAAAAAGCCAGAGTTTGTTTCCATCAGAAGGCCAGAAGTTGTTTCCATCAGAAAGCCAGAAGTTGTTTCCACCAGAAAGCCATAAGTTGTTTCCATCGAAAAGCCAGAGTTTGTTTCCATCAGAAGGCCAGAAGTTGTTTCCATCAAAAAGCCAGAGTTTGTTTCCACTAGAAGGCCAGAAGTTGTTTCCATAAAAAAGCCAGAGTTTGTTTCCATCAGAAGGCCAGAAGTTGTTTCCATCAGAAAGCCAGAGTTTGTTTCCATCAGAAGGCCAGAAGTTGTTTCCATCAAAAAGCCAGAGTTTGTTTCCACTAGAAGGCCAGAAGTTGTTTCCATCAAAAAGCCAGAGTTTGTTTCCATCAGAAGGCCAGAAGTTGTTTCCATCAGAAAGCCAGAGTTTGTTTCCATCAGAAGGCCAGAAGTTGTTTCCATCAGAAAGCCATAAGTTGTTTCCATCAGAAGGCCAGAAGTTGTTTCCATCAGAAAGCCATAAGTTGTTTCCATCAGAAAGCCAGAAGTTGTTTCCATCAGAAAGCCAGAAGTTGTTTCCATCAGAAAGCCAGAAGTTGTTTCCATCAGAAAGCCAGAATTGTTTTCCCTCAGAAAGCCAGAAGTTGTTTCCATCAGAAAGCCAAAAGTTATTTCCATCAGAAAGCCAGAAGTTATTTCCATCAGAAAGCCAGAATTGTTTTCCATCAGAAAGCCATAAGTTGTTTCCATCAGAAAGCCAGAAGTTGTTTCCATCAGAAAGCCAGAAGTTATTTCCATCAGAAAGCCAGAATTGTTTTCCATCAGAAAGTCATAAGTTGTTTCCATCAGAAAACCAGAAGTTGTTTCCATCAGAAAGCCAGAAGTTGTTTCCATAAGAACGCCATAAATTGTTTTTATCAGAAAGCCAGAAGTTTTTTCCATCAGAAAGCCAGAAGTTGTTTCCATCAGAAAGCCATAAGTTGTTTCCATCAGAAAGCCATAAGTTGTTTCCATCAGAAAGCCATAAGTTGTTTCCATCAGAAAGCCATAAGTTGTTTCCATCAGAAAGCCATAAGTGGTTTCCATCAGAAAGCCATAAGTTGTTTCCATCAGAAAGCCATAAGTTGTTTCCATCAGAAAGCCATAAGTTGTTTCCATCAGAAAGCCATAAGTTGTTTCCATCAGAAAGCCATAAGTTGTTTCCATCAGAAAGCCATAAGTTGTTTCCATCAG